AGTAAAGAATATGGTTTACATACCTAGGAATCTAGTAACTACTGCTTAGTAGTTCCAGAGCTGTAGGTCTCAAACTTTAGCATGTATCTTAATTTTCTGGAGGGCTTATTAAAGCAAATTGCTGGGCTCTCCCCCAGAGTTTCTGACTTAGTAGGTTGGTGGGGAAGCCCAAGAATTTACATTTTTAGAAAGGTGCCAGATGATGCTTATGTTGCTGACCCTAGGACTACATTTTCAAAACCAGCAACCTAGAGGAATTCTTGCCTGTGTTGATGAGGAGACGTGTACAAAAATCATCACATCAAACTTGTAATAACAATAACCCAATACAACTTAAATATCCATTGATAGAAAAGTGATTAGAGAATTACAGCATATTAAGAAAGGTAATATACAGCATTGAAAATTAATGAATTAGCTGTACAACACCATAGATAAATGTCAAATATAATTTTGAGCAAAGAAAAAAATCAGGTTGCTGAAGAATACACACCTTATGTTACCAATGGTATTAAATTAAAAAATAAGTAAATCTAAACAATAAGTTGTTAGGATTGCGTATGTATACACATTCAGTGGCAAACCAACATTCAGAATGGTGGAGGGAACAGGGACATGCATTAAGAAAGGTAATATACAGCATTGGGAATATGCAGAGGGAAGCATGCAGACTCAGTTGTTGAGGTGCATGGTGAGTTCAAAGACGTTTGTTATATTATTCTTTTGTGTGATTAAATATTCTTTTGTATGTATAAAATGCTTTAAAATCACTTTCATTTTTTCTACATATGACATATTTTTCTTTTTTCATTGTAGTTAGTTTATGTATTTCCAATTTTATACTATTTTAATCTCCCATAGAATCTTGGCAGTGTAAAAAATAAAAACACAACTATAAGGATGACTATTATTTTAAGGAAAGAAAACACCTTAAATATGTGAATGTGAATAAAGAAAAATAAGATCAACTGTGTTAGACAGTATACTTGTGTGTTTGTATGTGTGTGCATTTATACAGTCATGCATTGCTTAATGACAGGGGTATGTTTTAAGGTGGGAGGTGACTTGTCAATTATGCAAACACCACAGTGTGCTTACTCAAACCCAGATGGTGTAGGCAGGTCACTCTGCGTGGCCTCTGATGCAATCAAGGGATGCAGTAAACATGAGATGTCTCAGGCTTCTGGCCTTAGAGGGCACACTGTTATGTAGTAAACTTTTTTTTTTTCCTAATGATTAGAAAGAGTATATTCCAAAATACTGATAAAAAAAAAAGGATAATATAGTAGGTACAGAAGCCAGGAGCATAGTCATTGGTTGTCTTCAGATATTATGTACTGTACATAATTGTATGCACTATATTTTCATATGACTGGCAGTACAGCAATTTTGTTTCCCCAGCGTCACCACAGTGGGTCATGCATCACCCTGAGACAATATGACGACTGCAATGTCACTGGGAATGGGAATGTTTTAGCTCCCTTATAGTCTTTTTTTTTTTAAGAAATAATAAGTGACTTTATTGAAGTGGTTTTTTTGGTCTCAACTTATTTTTCATTTTAATGTTTTTATTAGTGCATTATAGTTATACTAATAGTAGGGTTCATTTTACCATAATCATACATGCATGCAATATAATTTGCTGAAATGAAGCAAATTATATTCCATTATAATCTTATGGGACCTCTGTTGTGTGTGTGATTTGTCCTTGACAGAGACATCATTATTTAGCACATCATGAGACTTAAAAATCATTTTTGTATAGTTCTGAGCAATTGATTAAAAACCGGCAGGGAAAATTGAGCAAGGATAAAATGGCTGGGGGGCTGGAATGAGGGTTTTAGAAATTAAAGATAGAAAGTGTGTTAAGGGACTCATAAATTCACAGGGCAAAATAAGTCCAGTCTGCTAGAAAGAGAACTACTCCAAGATGTACAATGATTGCCTGAATCTCTGCACTGTCCCAGCAGCTCTCTGAGGGGATAATGAAAGCAGATCTTGGGGGTGATGGATTTGGTGGTTGTAGGTTTGGTGAAAGTGGCCAAAAGGGGTGGCAGAGTTCAAAGGAGGACAACTTTGAAGCTGTTGATGCTAGAGCCTATGTGAAAGTTTTAAATCACTTGGAAATTGGGAGCTTGGCCCAAAGCAGAGAAGCATGATTGAATGATGGAGACCCACCGTGAGTGTAGAAAGTGTTTGCAGTTAGATGGGGAAGCCCCAGAGGGGACTCCCAGAGCAGAGCAAGCCCTCATTATCACATGGCTCAGTGCGTCTAAGACCAGTGAGGAACAGAGTTTGAGAACTGAGGAGAGTTCATTGGGGGCCTGTGGAGTCCAGGAATCTAAAAACTTAGCAATACAAGTGGTTAAGTCCAAGAGAAAGAGAAAATGAGGTTGAGTCAGTGTTTGGACAGTAGCTTTGGTGCTCAGAGGGTTCTTACCTTTTGCTGATGAGCAGGGAATTAAGGTTATGTGACTCTGTGTTCTGGGGAGGAGCGGGAGTCTCCAGGAAGGCAGTCAGGGTGGGAGAGCTGTACCTATATGTGTTCCAATGCCACCCACTAGCTGTGGGATCTGGGGCTAGGTGCTTAACTTCTCTCAGCCTCTTTCCCCATTTTCAGACTGATAATCATGCTGTCTTAGAGGCAGAAGGCATCAAATGAGATCACGGATAATTGTGCTTACTAGAATACACTAGAATATCTCATGCACGCTATGGATACTTAATAAACATTAGGTCTCTCTCCTCTTTCCCTCAAACCAAATACCCTTTGAGGCTCAGCTTGGGGGTCAACCAGTATCACAGCAGGTAATCAAAGGGACTGATGATCCCTGGGCTCACTGATGGAGCCAGGAAATGGGTCAAAGACAGAAATAATAAAACTGAAATGACAGTGTGCTTGTGACACAAGCCAAACAAAATATTGCCCATGTCAATGTCACAGAGCAACTCAGACACAATCCTGGGGAAGAATTTCCTGAAGCATTTCTTGAATAATTTTATTCATGGTGAGGGGTATCAAATAAAAGAAGGTACAGAAATTCCCTTTGACACTTGATGGATTAGTTGGGCCCTTTTCAAAGAAAAATATTTGGACAGGTATTAAGCCTCTTAGGTTTTTAGTTCTTTCAGTTTTATTCTAGCCATAAAACAAAGGTTTATAAACATCCTTGCTTGCAGAGCAACCTCAGACATTTTGTGAAAGAAGGAAATGGGGATCTCCTGAAATCAGTACCTAAAACAAAAACAAAACCAAAACCACATAAAATCAAGATTATCCTTAGAAAGCACTTAAATCATACTTAAGCTCAAAAGTCAACAATTAGCCAAAAGAGTAGAAAGCAAAGTATGAAAGAGATATTTATACACTCACGTTCATAGCAGTTTTGCTTACAATAGCCAAGAGGTAAAAGTAACCCAAGCATCTATCAATGGATAGCAAAAAGTGATATATATGGACAATGGAACAGTTTCAGCATCAAAGAAGAAGGAAATTCTGACACATGCTACATAATACAGTAAGTGAAATAAGTTGGTCAGAAAAGGACAGATCCTGTATGATTCAAATTAATGAGCAGGCAGATTCACAGGAGAAGGTAGAATAGCAGTAGCCAGGATGTTTGGATGGGGGAGTGAGGAATTATTATTTCATGGGTACAATTTTAGTTTTGCAAGAAGAATAAGTTCTGGAGATTGGATGCATAATGCAAATGTCCATAACACTATTGAATGGTACACTCAAGAATGGTTAGGATGATAAATGTTATATATGTGTATTTTTCTACAATTGAAGAGTCAATGATGAATTTCTTTACTTTTGTGTATTTAGCTTATAGAAATTCAGCTATGGTCAAATGGTCCTTACTTAGCCTTGACTTTCTTGTCCTCCTTCCCGTTCCAATGAGGCCTTTCTCCCTATGGTCCCCAAAGAGGGAGCTTAACCCTTTCTTCTTTACTTTTTTATTTTTAGTCAAGCATCTATGCTCTGATTCATATGCAAATGGTCTTCTACTGCATCTCTCCTTCTTACTAATCATATTTTATAGCTGATAAATTCCTGTAAAGCTGCAGCAAGACAGGTTTGGCTCCTAGACCACATATTGAATGTCACAGAATATACCTATGCATGAACTGATGAACTAAATTAGGAGAGCCCCCACATTTTTATTTTTGAGCCATCAACATACAAAAAAAAATTTGGACTGAGAATATTTGATGGTTTGTGTAGAGTTGAATAAAAAGTTGATGAGTATCTCCCACAAAGAAGGGGGTTCTGAGCAACAAAGTAGCAATGGCTTAAACAATAAGGCAGAGCACTGCTCAATCTTTGAGAGCTGTATCCCTGATTCTTGTCAATTTTCATTCACGAAAAATTAATATCCTGTCATCTTAATTTAAAAATAAATCCTCTGTACCTCTAAAGGTATGGCACTGGGCATGGTGGTGCTCACCTATAATCCCAGGAGCTCAGGAGGCTGAAGCTGGAGGATAGCAAGTTCAAAGCCAGCCCTTCAAGTTAGTGAGGCCCTAAACAACTTAGTGAGACCCTGTCTCAAAATTTAAAAAATAAGAATAAAGAGGACTGGCGATGTGGCTCACTGGTTAAGCGCTCCTAGGTTCAATTCCCAGTACCAAAAAAAAAAGAAAGAAAGAAATACTGTTAGGCAACAAATTGTTAGCTCTATTTAAATTATGTACAGTTGGAAGAGAAATGGAGTTTCACACATTGTGTGTTTGTGTTCCTCAGAACACCCAGGAAAGCTTTGCCCCCAGGAAGTAGTCAATAAATGGTTATTGAATTTAGAGTGTCCTTCTTTCCAATCAGTGAGGTTTAATCTATTTCCAATTCAGAATGCCTATTAATTTTTCAGCATTACTAAGCCTTTTAAAAAATCCATTTTGGGATGTGCTTAAGAGTTCACAGCAAATACTATTATATAAATGATTAAGAGAAAACTGTTAAATGAAGCATGCTTATTCAACACACCAGCAGCCATTGGTAAAATGTAATTTAATTTAATCGTTTAAATTTACATTGTTAATGTACAAGAGCATTTCTTTCAAACCACAGGTTAACACACACTAAAGAGCAATGCTGTTGGAGGAGCAGAGGAACTTGGGAAAACTCTGCTATCTGAAATAAAAGCAAGGCACTCTCCATTAACAGCTGGTGGATTCCTGATTTCCGCCCACGGAAGGCATGTTCACACTGAGAGAGCTCTCCCACAAGGGGAAGAATCACCTGCTTCAATGCTTCTTGTCCTCTTCTGAGCTAGTGTGGTCATCCACTCTATACACTGGTGTGTCAACATTAAGACAAAAAGAGAGAGAGAGAGAGAGAGAGAGAGAGAGAGAGAGAGAGAGAGAGAGAAAGAGAGAGGGTGAGAGAGAGAAAATTGAATTGATCGCTGACTTGGGAGGCTCTCATAGTTGTAGTAACTATGGAAGACAGAAGAACACTGGCTATCATCTTTATTTTCAGCACTGGTGTCTGGACCTATAACTAGAAAAGCTTCTTCATGCCTTCCAATCAATAGATAGGAGGGCTAAAAAAAAAGTCCTTTTCCTTAGATCTGAAGGATGTTAAAAAAAAAAAATGTAACAGCATTTCTCTAGGGCTCTGTGTTTTTGTTTTGCTTTGCTTTTCCTTCACAGACATGACAAAACAAGGATTAACTTTCCAAATACTCATGGTGCACAAGAAGGTTATGTATGCACAGTACTTCTAATTTATTCAAATTCAATTTGAATTTGGTCTGAAGCTATCTTGTATGAAATGTTAGCTTTCCTGATATTTAATAATGTTCATTATGTTTGCATATAGGTTCAAAAAAAATTAAAGCAAAAGTACTACCTTATTCACAGTTATCTTCAGGTAAAATGTTAATATTAATGGTTATGTGTAAAAGCCTGTTTTTCTATAGATGCAGTAAGTTGAGAAAGAAAGACCATGGAAGGTGAATTAAGTCTTAGTCTTGATTCTGTTACTAGCTGTTTGTCCTTGGGTAACTCTGTATCCCTCAATGGGCCCCAGTTTTCTCCTCTATTAATTTCAGGAAGTTGGACTGTTTTACAAGTCAGGCCCTTTGCAAGTCTAACATTTCAAAATCCTAACATTCCAGGCCCTATCATCTTGATATAAAAATAATAATCTTTCATAAAAGCTTACACAAACATAATACATGATCAAATATCAGAATGACTCTTGGAAAAGAAAGTATATGATTTGCTATCTGGGTTATACTTTGCAGCAATTAGGCAATTCATTTGGCATTTGATTGTATAATTTAATGACAATATAAACAGCATAGTTTTGTTATTTTTTCCTTTAAAAAGACTAAAGCAAAAATGATTTAAAGCTAACAAAAACTACTGTGACATCAGTTTGACATTCAAAGTTTGTTTCTTAGCAAAATGGCCAAAGATATTTTGACTTGATACAGAGTATATAATATAAAGACTTTTAGACCTAAAAATCTTCAAACATTATTTGAATTTAGCAAAACATAAGCAAAATTTTAATATCAAAGTGCTAAACAGTACTGCCTTAAAAGTCACTGCAAATGAACCATAAAATAACGGCATGGGAAGTGACATTTATTGTACAAATGGTTAATAAAAAGACACATTATAAATATATATATGTAACCTGCTATATTTATATATATATATATATATTTGTTTATTTAATTTCTAACTGGTGTATCCAAGTCACTGTGAACACCCCATTTAATTATTCTGTAACTCAGCTTCCACGAGCTGGTGGTCTTGCAATAAATACAGGCAAAGCTATTACAATATAACGTGCATACAAATGTTTATACAAATAAGGACACTGCAACAAATTATCTCATAATCATATGGCATTAACAGTAGAAACATAGAAAAGGGAGTACGAACATGGAATGTTGAAACGCAGCCCACTAATTTCTTCTAGTACTCACATTAATACTATTTTTTTAAAAAAGAAGACTTGCTTACTCTCCAAAATTGTCTCTTTAACCAATAACAAAAATTAAATTTTATATATAAAAATCCTTATTGTCCCTGGTGCTTACCCTGTATGACCCAGTTTCTACTCATTCGCATGTTCTCATCTGGGGATCAAATACTTGACTGATTCATCAAATGCTCCTCTCTGGCTTTTGAATGAATGTATCAGTAAGCTGCTACAACTGAAGCAAGTTTAGAACACTCTGGTGGGGTCGATGGAACACAACCAGAACAGGTGTATATAATCCATTTTATAATCTGATCCCCTTTCAGCATAGCTGAACAGTCAGCAGGGATCTAGTTCTATCAAGAATGCCCAAAAAGTCTTGGATGGGCTCGATCTCAGAAGGGTTCTACAGGGCGGGTGGATGGAGCCTTTTGCTAGGAAAATTAGCATGTCACTTGCTAACATGACTGCCTCCTTTTTATTTCCATAGAAAATAAAGGAGAGTTCATGAACAAGACTTAATAAGACAGCACTTTAAAAAATTGCACTTGTATATGGAAGCGAACGGCCATTATCATTTTGCTATGTCTGATTTGTAGGTAATCCTTCATCTTTCATCATTAGTTAAAATAATTGAAAGAAATTAAGAAAAGGGAATTTCTGCCTTGTTTGCACCACATACGTACAGGAAGTATGATCTAAAGGGATCAGTCTTAAGACACATCCTACCCTGGTGAACAACCCTTGGCTGTTCTTGTTTTTAAATACAAAGCAACCATAATTGTATTCCCCAGGAAGAGTTTAAAAACAGTTATATTATCCTTTTCTCTTCTTCTTCTTCTTTTATTTTTCCTGTTGGGATAGCATCATCCAAAAGTGCTTTTTTAGCAATTTCTTAGAAAACCCTCATGAACTATACCCCTCCAGCCCCACCCTCCAAAGCCTAATTATAAAACACAACCCCAACACAATTCTCTGCAAGTTTTCTGGCTTTAGGTTGTAAGGAAAGTTGCCAGAAAAAAAAAGAAAAAAGAAAAAAAAAAAAACCACAAAGAAGAAGAAGTCTTTTGCCTTTTACAGGAGCTGCTTTTTCTCTGAAGGAAGGACAGAAAGTGATCGTGTCCAGACCCATCCCTTTGCTGCTTGGCAAGCAGGTGCCAGCAGAAGAAGCTGCTCCCTGCTCAGGCTGCTCCGGCTTAGAAAGGTAGGGTATCCAGGAAGAGCTTGTCGATGATGGAAGGCGGAGCCACCAAGTCTTCCAGCTTCAGGTAGAAGATGCGCTGGAGGCCCAGGGTGCAGATCTTCCTCAGTTCTACCAGGGCACCCAGCACCTTGGGCTCGGTGGGCTCCAGAGCCTGTCCCTTACTCTGGTGGTCTTTTAAGCTGCTTGTGATCTTGTTGCATAGCTCCTCCACTCTCTTTGGTTCTTTTAACCCATGTCTTTCTGCAGAGGGATAGAACAGGGCAAGTTTAGGAGGTGGCTGTATCTCATGACCCTTTAAATCCCTAATCAAGGTCTGAGCCCCTTCCTGCCAGTTGAAATGGTGTTTTACGATCAAAATACCCTTCCTCTGAGAGCTTGTTCCTGGCCTCTGTATCAAACAACACTAGGGGTTGAATCCCAGTCCTGACACTTAACTTGCTGCCTGTCATTGAGGAAGTTTCTTTACCTCCATTTCCTTATGAGATGAACAGAATGATCAACTCTGGGAGGGCCAACTTAGGTGAATAACATGAGTGAAGCACACAATTTCTGGCACACAGCCATGCTGAGTGCATGACAGGGCTGTTACTATTTTGTATACATTATCCTGCTAAGGTTTCACAAAAGCCCTATCAGTAGTAGACAAGTCTCTTTCAGAGTGAACCGAAAACACAACTAGGCAAATGAATTTACTTGAGGGAGGTGGAGAGGCTGTAATGTTCTATTTGCTAATGCAAGAGCTGCCCTGTAAGACCCAATCCAAAGTGCATTCTGTTTTCAGGCTAACCAGATTGAGAAGATTCCAGCTTTTCTCTTTCTTTTTCTCCCCCCACCCCCCTTCGAAACACCCACTGAACTACACCTGATGCTCTGTAAAAAATACATGTGTTATCTTGCCATTGAGGCTGAAAAGTCAAAGAGAAGTGGAAGAGGTCTGGAAGGATGTAGTGCAAGCATTTAATAACATGCTAACACACGAAAACCACTATCTGATATTTTTTAAAACAATATATAAAATGATCCCCATGTTAAATATTATGGTCTACTTTTTTGAATAAAGTTGAGACATTTTCCCAAAGCCACCCAGCTGCTAAAAGCTGGAATTTGAACCACAGCTTCAAAGCAGATTCTATACTCTTATGCAGCCACCGCTGCATCTCCCTAGAATGAGAAAGGAGCCTGACACCCAATACAAGTCTCCCAGCTCTCCCTCAGCCTTTAAATAGCAATGCCTCTTTCCTAAGATCCAAGCTTGGTCTCTGTTATCTCAAAAGTTTTCTTCTTTCATTGTATTTACATGTAAAAAATCATAATTCTTCAGAGATGGAAGACATCCCTCTAAAGGAAAATCAAACATTAGTTTCTAATTTCCCCTAGATTTAGTTATTTTAGTCGGAGATATTTTGTTTGAAAAGTTATTCCCCAAAGCAAGAGCCAATCAGAAAATGAAGCATCGAGCCACACATTTTTCTCTTTTCTTGTCTCAAATAAGAGAGGCCTGGGAACCAGGAAATCTGCAATCTCCCCCGAAAAGGCTAGTTGTATGTGACTTGGGAGAGTTGCTATCTCTCTAGGACCTTGTCAAGGGAGGAGGTTGGATTTAATGACCTCTAAAATCCTTTCCAGCTCTGATCTATTACATTAAAGCGCTACCATGATAATTGCCAGCAATGGACGGTACCTCAGTGGATTATGATTTGCAGGTGTCTCTTCTCAAAGCAACACGGTATAGAGAAAGGAGTACTGGGCTTGGAGTTAGAGCTGAATTCCAGGGCTGATTCTATCACTTACTGGCACACTTACACACTTAAGTGTGACCTAATCTCTCTAAGGTTCAGTGTCTTTATAGGAAAATGGGAATGATGGGGTGGTGACTATAACAAAACCCTACCTCTGTGGGCAGTTGTGGGGCTCAACTAAGATGGCATTACATGAAAGCATTCTGTCCACTGTGTAATGCCATGCACGTGGGAGAGTCAGCACCTTAAGACAATGACCACAACTGCAAGATGGAGCAATGAAGTCCCCTAATTCCCAAGCTCTGCAATGCATGCCTTTACTTTCCCCAGGGAATTATTACCTAATCAGCCCAGGTGCAAACCTTTCCCCTTGGCTTATCTATACTAAATACATAGACCCTGTGTTTCAGTCTCAAAAGGACCTAATCATGAACTTCAAAAGAAATCCTGACTGCTGTGATGTTCTGCCCTCCCCACACCCTCCCAAAAAAAGAAAGCATAAAAAGCAAGCTGCAAATTTTATAATAAATTTCAAGAGCTACAAAATGTTCATAGTCTCTGACCAAGTAATCCCACTCTTGGGATTTATCCAAAGGAAAAATTCAACAGAAAAAAACACAACTGTATGTATATAGAAGTTTGGTGCATATTATCTTTTAAACACCCCAAACTCCAATAACAAAAACAAGCAAAACACTGGAAAAAGCTAAGGCGTTAAAGAATCAGTGGATTGTTGCATAAAAAATGGCATGTCCACTTAATGAAAGATTCTGTAGACATTAAAAAGGACAGACATGAAGAGTTTGAGGTAACATGGAAAAACACCTATATCGTCAAATAAAGGGTAAAATATTAAAGAGTATCTAGGCTGTGATCACATCTATGCAAAAATTATTTCTGCATGTAGAGGAGGAAAGGAAACAAAAAAATGTGAAAATATTTATGAGAGAGTTGGATAACTTTTCTACCTTTCTTTTAAAATCTCCAGGTTAGTGCTGTTTGTATAATAATGTTAAAATAGAAAATAGGAGCCGCTGCTTTGTGAAGGCCTCTAGTAGCTATAATGTGGTCAAGCACCATCTTGCTGATACTAAATTCTATTAGCGCTGAGATATATTAAATTAGATTCACAAGCCAGGGAGAGATGCGTTTCTCAGAATTAAATACCAGTGTCCTGAATTGTGAGCTTTCCCTTCCTTTTGGTGCCTCATGTCTTACAGAATATTGGAGATCCTATATTCATTATGGGGATGAAGAAACTGAGCAATTTGCTGGCTGGATTTCTGGAGGGGGCTGACTGTAGAACCCTGTAGCCAGACTTTCTCATGGCCAAACTCACAGAAGGGGCCTCGTAGTTTTCCCTGCTCTCCAGCCAGTTGCGCCTGCTCAATAACTATGGCAACCATTATTTATTCAGTGAATTCAAGTGGAGATCGATACCTCCTGCCAGCTGGATCAACCCTAGGCCTGGAATTCCTTGAGGAATTCAGAGACACTCCTGTTGGAAGCCAAAGGCACCTCAACCCTCCTTTGTTGTTTTGAACAGCCACTGGATTTGTGGCTTCTTTACTTTTCCAAAAGGGCTAAGATAAAATCAGTATCCATGCAAACTATTGCCAGCAGCTAGCAGGATTTTTACATCACTAGGGAGTCACTAAGTGTCTGGTACCTTCCCAGCCATTTGAAATTCCTTAAAACCCCAATCACTGACATTTAGATGAAGGGACCCCTTTCTTCTTACAGCTTGGTAAACATAGCTGCACAGCTGATGTATGGAAAGTTCATACATTCTGGGGGCAATCAGACATTTGGATTTTCTCCTTTATGGATAATTTTTACAAAGAAGATTTTGGTTTAAGATCTGTGTCTGCCATTACAAAACAAGTTTCTTGGCATTTTTTTTTTTTTTTTTTTACATTTTGATCTACATAATATTTATCCCATACTTCAGTATTTTAACTCAGGCAGTATGTATTCAAAGTACAACTTACAAAAATTGTCAAATAATAGATTTATGTAGCCCAATAGATTTATGTCAAATAATAATTGTCAAATAATAGATTTATGTATGTAACTTAGAAAGGATTTGAATCACTAAGTTCAAATTTCCACCTAAGAGAGGAATCTCTACTATGAGATAGTGCAAGGAGACATAGGTACCAGCTGAACTGTGAGTGTCACTATCTCAGCCTGATAAGAAAAATATATTTACTAGCACTTTGTATTAGACTCTTTTATTTTGATTATTTTATCTCACCTCACAACAACCTGGTGAATTAGGCAGGCTAAAGATTATTTTTAATGAATAGTTAAGGCTAAGACTCAAAGAGTTAAGTGACTTGCCCTGGGACAAAATTATCAAGTGGCTAATTTCTTTCATTAAAGAAGATATTTCTTTAATGTCAAGTGCAGAGATACTTCTTTTATACCTGTCTATTTTCTTTCTTTGAACATCTCTAATTGTTAAGAAGAATCTTCTATCCCAGTCTCCCTAACATACCCTCTGACTTTCTGTATACCTACTTCTTTCAAAAATATTTTTTGAGCACCCATTCCATCGAAATGTTATAGCTGCTGGGGTTGGAGCAGTGAAGACAGCAGATCTTAACCTGTGTGTGCAGTTAACACCTAAGGACACAGCTGGATGTCTGCGCATTTTGTTCACCTGTGCCAGATGTCTTTGCTGAGCAGGAGAGAACAGGAGGGGGCAGGGGCAGAGAGGGGGGAGAGTGGGGAGAGGGAAGATCTTGATTGGGTTCATGCTCATGTTTTTCCATCTTCATCTGGTTAAGACCTATTCCTTTTTTAGATCTTGGTCCAAGTATTTCTTCAGGGAGGCTTTCCTTTTTGTTCCTAGTCTAGATCACATTCTCCCATGGCATTCTTCTCATGCCCTTTGCAGGATATAATACTTTGAAATCAGATATATAGGTGACAGTTGCCTGCCTCTTTCATCAAACTCAAGGTCCACGGAGAAGTGGACTGTATTTGTTCGCCACTGTGTTTCCAGCCCCAAGCCTAGAACTACGTGACATCCAATAAATAGCTGTTAAATGAATATATAAGCAGAGGATCAAGGACATGTTAAAAATGGTTAATGAAATACTAAAGTTGTAAGTTGTAATGAAATACTAAAGTTGTACACAGATTGGCAGTTATTATAACAGTAATAGCAAAGAGCTTTAGAAACCTCCCATATCAGAAGCTTTGGAACCAGATTTCCTGGCTATACCCCCTAGCTTGGTAACTTCAGGTCTGTTTCCACATTTAAAAAAATAGGGATAATATTGGCAGTTGTTTCATGGGCTGTTGTGAGAATTAAAGGAGTTATTACATGTAAAGTATTTGGAATAACGCCTAGCATTTAGAGAGCACTTAACAAATATTTGCAAATATCCTCTACATTTAAAACTCATTATGTTTCCTTTCAAATCAGCCAGGTTTCTGATTCGTTTATTAATGATATCACAATCTTCCCCACCCCTCTCATAATAATCTGAC